AATTTAAATAAAAAAAAGTTTATTGAATTTGGCTTGGTAACATCAAGATATTTTTGCTTAAAGTTTAAAAAAAATTGTGACACAGCTTTTGTTTAATAAAACTTTGAGCAAAAATATTTTAATAACTACCAAGTTAATTTTAATAAACCTTTTTTTATTTGAATTCTACAAATTTATAAAATTTAAACAAAAAAAGTTTATCAAATTTGACTTGGTAATTGTTGAGATATTTTTGCTCAAAGTTTAAAAAAAAATTTGTATTGTTTGTTTTAATAGATATTTTGATTTTTTTTAAACTTTGAATGAAGATATCTCAGTAACTAATAGGCCAAATTTGATAAACTTTTTTTTATTTGAATTTTATAAATCTATAGAATTCAAAAAAAAGTTTATCAAATTTGGTTTAGTAATTACTGAGATATCTTCGTTCAAAATTAAAAAAAATTAAATTTGCAGAAAGATTAATAAATTTAGGGATATAAAAACTAGGACCCAATATATATTACTTTAAAAAAAATTATATATATATAGTTTATTCTGTCAAAAGCATATAAGAAACTTGTAATTTTACAGTAAATCACAGGTTATAATATTTGTATAATTGGCTAATTAATATAGATCTAAATGTGATTATTAATCAATCAAATCAATTAAAAATTCTTTTAATATATAAAATATATAAAAAAATAAATTTGTTATTAACAAAAACAAAATATTTTTAATACTAAAGTAATTTTATTCTATTTTTTAACTATATAATTTTACTAAAATATATTATATCTAACTATTACTACTTTATTGCTTTATAGTTTATACTATAGTAATTAAATCATTGTATTTATTATACTATATATTAAAAATAATATTTTTTGTTTGATATATAATATATACATGTGTCATAGTTCAGGTAAAATAAATTGTATTAAAATATTTATAATGCATAGCTTGTTAAATAAATATAAAGTTTTATGTTAGTATAATATTCACAGTTTAGCAATTTATAAATTTATTATTTGGTTTTATAATTTAAATATTAGTGATAATACCCGAGTTGAATATTACCTGAGTTATTCAGATATCCAGGTTGTAAACTCAGCTATCTGGGTAGACATACCCAAATAATCTTCGGGTAACAAAAGTTGGAATATTCATATAGATTATCCAAGCTAACTAAATATAAATAAACTAATAATAAACTTAATACTTCAATATACTGTACAAAAAGTTATTTTTAAAATATTATATTTTTCTTGAAAGCTATGTGTAGAATTTTAGATCTAAAAAGGTTTATACTAAATTAAGCAGTTAACCAAAATAAAGTAATGCTTCGATAAAGACAATAAGGCATTATAAAACTATATTGAGTTTAAACCTATCAGTAATTTACCAAGTACAAGAGTAATTTGCAGCTATAATAGATATGTACTAATCTGTTATCCAGTTTAAATTCTGAAATTAGTATATTTTAGTGAATAGACTTACAAAACCTGCATTTTTTCTCAAAATAGTACAAAATTTTTAATTTATCAAAATTGGAATACTAATAGAATGATTTATCTTTATGTCTAAGGTTGTTATCAATATGAAGCTAGAAATGATAGCTCTAAATAGACTCAGGTTACATATTTATTATAGACCTAATTATAACTTTAAAAATATAAATCTTATAGTTAATCAAAAAATCAAAAATGATCTATATTAGAGCAGTGCAACTAATAATGTTCAAAAAAGATTATTTGTACATAGTATTCATACTAAATTTGTAAATCTTTAGATCTAATGCGAGATGGTCATATAGAACTCATTGTTGTTGATCAAATAATCAAAAACGAATTAATTTTATTATTGATTTGTTAGACTAGTATTAGAGAGCGATATAACTGATAATGTTCAAAAAATATATATATCTATTGATAGTCTATACAATTTTTATGTAAATATAACTACACCAAAATTACATCAACAGATTTTAATATAAATATTGTGATTTTAGTGTTAATGATTTGAAAAATTTGGTTAACAATATGAAAGTGTTATTTAGCTGTGTTAATAATATTGAGACGGATAGTGCTGAAATTTGTAGATTCAACAAATCAGGTTTTGACTCGAGTAATTTTTGTAGGTCTTTATATTTGATTAAATATTAATTTTTTTTTTTTAGATAATTACTTGATAGATATATTGCATATCAATAAAAATCAGCATAAATAAATACATTGAATAATTAAAAAGTAATCAGTTGAAGAATAAAGTAATCGGTTAGACACAAATTCTTATATTTTAGTTAGCAGCTATTTACCTAGGTATATTAGGTAGAATTTTATATTAGATATATCTGTTGATCACCTAGATAATCCACCAGGTATACCTGTCAGATAATCGGGTAGCATTTTTTCGATCAGGTACCATCACTATTAAATATAGTAGAAATTTAATAAACTTAGCCAATTACCAAACACTTTATTTTTGTTTTTATGAAAACTTTCTAAAGAAAATGATTGAAAATAATTAGAAAAGATTTTCTACTAGAAATACTTAAAATAAAAAAATTTTACTTATAAATAAAAGTATTTATAATAACTAAATCAATAAAATTTTTTACTAGATTTTTCTTAGATATACTAAATAGATGAATTTAAAGTAAAGTATAGTTTATATAATAGTATATAATTTTTATAAGCCCAATACAGACTAATAATTATATAATATAGTATGATAAGATGAGATAACATTATGTTGGTATGGTAATAATTTTTTTGATCAGAGAATATCATGAAGTGATATTTTCTGAATAATTAAAAAAATTATCGCTGTATTAATGTGATGTATCTCAGAATCATCATGCTATATTGGTATTATAATATAGTAGTCATTGATCATAAATTGTACTGTTTATGTTTTTTTAAACTTCTTTAATTCATATAATGCAAAATGATATTAGTATGAATAACATAAACTATACAAAATAACAAGTATGAATGATATAATAAAAGAAAATAATTTTATAATATAAATAGTATAATACTCATGATCAATAGTAGCTGTACTATAATTATGGTTATTAGAATAGTCAACTTTTATTTTCATACTATTTCCTTTACTTTTTTAATTTCTTGTGTTTGTTGTTTAATTATAATCTTTTATATCTCTGTTTTTCTTTTTAGTATCCTTTTTTGTTAATTTTTTTTTTATATGTTGTATTTTAACAAACATGTAAGAGATGTGACAAAAATCAGATAGTTTTTTAGAAGAAGAGGAGAGTAAAAAAGTCAAAATTATATATAAGAACCTAATTTTTTTTATATTAAGAGGGAAAGAGGAGTAAGCCTCTAATAAAAAATAATCAAGTGATAAATGACTCTGCTCTAACAGGGTGTGACAACTTAGTGAAATGGTTAAGTTGTCACACCCCAAGTAGAATGTAGACTAGGAAATTTATTGGTGATGAATTTCGAATATTCTACTTGTATAACAGCTACTGTCTTTCAATAATCAGTTGAAACAGAATCTCTGTAACTTTGGTAACACTAACAAGACTAGAAGATCATAGGTATTTGTACAATATATAAATTATACAAATATGTTTTCAAATTATATAAATCCAAAGAACTAGAAAGATGGATGCCCACTTGGCAAGACCTAAATAAAGAGGTAGCACAGACCTTTAATAGTACTACATAAAGAATTATTATCAGGAAAACTGGCAAAAACTGAATAGGACCGAAGTGTTTGATAAAGCACTCCATCAACTAGGCCGTTATAAGAGTACTGAAAGAAAAAAACCTAACTGTAAGGACCAAAAGCAGATTACAGCCCTTCTGGGTTATCTGAATTAGTAGTTTGGGATAGTTGGAAGTACTGATGATAGTCTGTAAAGTATATGTTGAAATTTGGATGAACTTTCAAGAGTAATAGTAATAGTAATGGCTTTGACTCGCAAGTACTTGTTCTTGAACTTGACATAAGTTACTGAAGATTAGATTAGTCAGATTGTGGATATAGAAAGCTTTAACAGGTTTACCATGAGGATAAAGTAGTTCTAAAGGGTCTTAGCAACAGTTAAGCAGTGATGAAAACAATACAACAGTGTGAAGTTGATCAGAGAGTTTATATAGGAGATCTACAAACAGATCTTAAATATGACAATTAATAGATAACTATAAATAGAAATAGATATAGTGAAACCCTTAAATAGGCAATGAATAAAGTTGTACATGTGACTAATTGTACTCTTATTGGTGTAACAAAGTCAAGCAAGGTCAACAAGACTGAGCTGGTGCTTGATTCAGATTGCAAATAAAACATGCTAGACCTCAAAGTGGTTACCTTAACATTAAAAAAAAAAAAAAAAACAAAACATGTAACCACCAGCCAAAAAACAATGAAGTTTAAGTTTCTAGTAAGTTAGAAATCCTAAGTAAGGCAAAAGGCTACTGAAGCAGGTTATATTGGTGATTTATTGTTGATAAATTTTTGCTTTTGGTTGAATTCATTATAACTATAGATAGAAAATTTTTTGAAATTTTGTTGAAGAGTTGAGTTCTAAATAAAGCAAGAGCAGGATTGCCAAAGTATAAAAAAAAATAAATTTTTTTCTATAATTATAAGATATTCTTTTTAATATAATTATAACTATATAAAGTATCCTCTATATTAGTCATATCTCTATATAATTACTATTTTTTGTATCTCAAAGATATAACTATAAAGAGATTTGGCTATATTAAATTTAGCCTGGCCCAGAACGGCCCAGCCCGCAATTATAAAATTTAATTGCTAAGCCCGGCCCGCAAAACGGGCCGGCTGGGCAGGCCTATGGGGGCCTCTAGTCACTACGTAGTGAAATTTTAGAAAGCAATTATGGTTCCAAGTATCAACCCAAGTACATATACGTACATATTTATTGGGTCAAGAATACTGCAGTTATTTGCAGTCGATTGTGGAAGTTTTTAAGTTACAAATAAAAAAAAAAAAAAAAAAAAATTCGAACGCAAATACTTTTAAAAAATAAAATCAGCAATAACTGGTCGATGATCGCTAATATACAAATCATCATCGTACAGATTAGGCATCGTCCCATGATTCAAAATTTTAATCTTTTGTTCCTCCAAACTATTATTACTAACCATGATGAAATCAATTCTGACTTGCTCAATACTTGTTGAAAACCCTGTAAAGGTATTGGAGAAACCATAAGAGGTTTCAATTGATCGGTTACTAATCTCATATCGTGTATCACCGAATGGTATTAAAGCATGATCTAATTGTGATTTATCATTATTGTTTACGTATTTCTTTCCGGTGAGTAATTTATAAGGTTCATCAACTTCTTGACAATTGAAATCACCAGTCAGAAAAACTATATCAGATGACTTTAATAAATCTTGAGAGTTTTGTAATATAAGTTTTGCGCTTTCTTCACGCGAGCGAGGCCCCTTATCATCGAAATGAGTGTTAATGAACCAAAACTTTTGGCCCGTAACCAGATCCTGAAATCTATTATGTAAACAGTGTTAGATTTATTATTATGTATAATCTTAGATGGTGAACACATAATTGTTAACCAAACCTTGCTTGAGTGACAACGCCTTTAAAATGGGATCAACGGATAGAATTATATGTAAATTTTGATAGAGAAATTCGTTGTAATCATATATGAAAATAACTTACGAGGTAAGCCAGAGTCCCAATCTTTACTACCAGGAATATCGGGTGTCTGTAAAATAATATTGGAATTAAGATCTACAAATAGCTACCATAGAGTGTTCTCAAGGAATAGATTAGCCGCGCAACCAAAATTCGGCAGATCGACCAAAATCTAGGGTCGGGATAGGCCGGAATTGATAAATTTCCACTAATAAAATGGTAGCCCATGTACTAAGTAAAGTTGCCCAAATGATAATTTGCTATAGTATAGTTGGCTGGTATGATTGCTTAATGCCGGGCTATCTCCGGGCCCATTCCGATCCTAAATTTTGTTGCGTGACTAATCTATCTGTTCTCAAGCACCTAGATGCGATTTCATAGTGATCGAAAATAGTGCACGTAATTTTGGCTATTCTCATAATATTTTTAGATGTTATTATTTGGATATGTGCAAGTATTACTATTCCCGTGATTTGCTAATAATGTAGTGATACTCAATTAGGGTTTAGAATGGCCAGGTATGCCAAGGTCCAAGCCCGGCCCGATTTTATTATTAGACTTGCCCGTAAAGTTATGGCGCGGCCCAAGACCGGCCCAAATGATTACGGGCTTAAAATCTAGGCCCAAACCCGGCCTGATCCGCAAACTCCGGGTTTGACCCGACCTATTCCGAACCCTACACTCAATTACCACCTCAATCACTGCTTGAGTAGATTCTAAATGGTTTATAAAACAAAATATAATAGCGGCAATACGTTAGTGTGTCGATAACGAACATAAAGAAAAATATAAAATGCTTGAACAATAACTCTATTTGCTTTAATGGTTATAAAGTTGTAATAACCAGCGCAAAAAAAAAGTAGTTTAGGACAATACTCATTGATTATTTCACTATTTAGATTTTTTCTCTGATTTAAATAAACCACATGTTCTGTATCTTATTCATCTTAATGACAAGCACGTTTGATCGGTTAAAAATACTTTCCGCTAATTAAAGTTTAATTCTCGACACACTTCCAACAACTCATACATCGACCCCCAAATTCTGCTGGATACACAAATTTCGCTGGATCCTTTTTCGAAGATTTTTTTTTAAAAACTTCTGACGAAGATTTCTCAATAACCATATTTTTTATTTTAATTCAATACCTTTATAGGATTAAAATAAAAAAGATTCATCGAATTTGGCTAGTATTTATTAAGAAATTTTCGCTAAAGTTGAAAATTAGAATATCAACTAAATCGGGAAATTTTTTTTCTTTTCTTTCTGTAAACTTTAAGGAAGATTTCTCAACAACCATCTATCCAAATTCGATGAAACTTTTTTGCTTTAGTTAGATCTATAAATTAAAATAAAAAATTATTGAATTTGTTTAGGTAGGTGTTGGGAAATATTCATTAAAATTTAACAAATTAACCACAGCTTTTATTTTATCAATATTTAAACTTGGACGAAGATTACTCAGCACCTACCTGACCAAATTTGATAAAGAAAATTTTATCGAATTTGATCAGGTAAATGTTGAGTAATCTTCGTTCAAAATTTGGCATGAAAAGCTGCAGCCAATGTTTTTTGAATTTTCTCATCAACTCCTTATTTAAATTGGATAAAATCTTTTTTTTATTTTGATTCTATAAGCTCTTAGAATTAAAATAAAAAAATTTTCATCGAATAAGGAATATTCTAAATTTTTCAACTTCCAGCGACAACTTCTTAATAATCTCTAGACCAAATTCAATGAATCTTTTTATTTCAATTATAAAGGTATTTAATTAGAGTTACCATTCATCGCCAGTGCGATGCATTGCTAACCCTGATCGACCAACCAGGATGCAGGATCAGAAATTTTGCTTATGAAACTGCCCTTTTTATTCTAACAAAAAAAAAAAAATTCTTTGCGAAATTTTGGGGTATTATCCTGACCAAACCCTAACCTAACTTTAACCAGTCACTATTTGTTTTGATTAACGTGAAATCAAAACAAATCAAATGATTGGTTATCAGGGATAGCACTAGTGATGAGTGATAATTGTCACGAAAAAATTTTTACCATGTGGAGCTTTTAAAGAGTCGAAAAGGGATCCAATCAAATTTCGTGTAACCAGGAGAATTTTGGGATCGCTGTATTAGTTCACTTTTTGACTCATTAATTGAGGCACTTGAGAACTCCCATAAACGAGTAAAATAGAAACATGACATACTTTAGATAACCAGTAGAATTTTGATTCTAATAGTTCCATACGATTTCTAAATAAATAAGTTATTGTAAATCAATCACGTAATCAAAAAAAGAAGATAATTAAAATCTTACTTCTTATAAAATATTGGGACGAATTCACCTAAATAAAGCAATATATTAACGTTACGCAGTATCCGATAAATAATAGCACCAATTAAATTCTTGTTATTTTTGCACAAACCTGCTTCTTTCCCATCCTCACGACCCACTCCAACCCATTGCCAGTCTTGGCCTAACAAAGTCTCAAGATCCGAAAGTTGGTTCTTAAGAACTTCCTGTTATGGAAATAAAAGTATACAAAAGGCAACGTGTTATTAACATTAGGTCGTAACCTGATCATTTCGTGTTTATATGCCAACCTGCAGACCAACAATATCAGCTCTATGAAATAGTATGGTATCGGCAACTTTTCTTCTTCTACTAGACCAAGGTTTCTCACCAGAAGTTTTCATAGTTTTCTCTGTAGACGGAGCAGGTAAGCCACAATAGGCATCATACCGAATATTAAAGGTTGCAACACGAAGAACGTTCGATTTGCTCATAGTTATAGAAAACTTTCAGCAAGCAAGCATGGCGAGGGTTCTATTTATGCAATTTCTGAATTTACACTTATTCGTCTGTGATACAAACTCAAAAAGGAAAAAATTGATAGATGTAACATTTGATGATCGCTTATTTGCACAATACTGCAATAACACGTGAAAGTTACAACGTTAGAGTTAGCAAGAACTAAGGTTAGAAAAGACTATCAGTATACGTATCTAAAATTTTGCAAGAATTTTTTTTTATTAAAGCGTAAATGCTGTTTATTAGTCGAAATTTTGAGTTACTAGCGATTTTCTGGAAAACCCTTCGATCTCATATAGGTGGGTTAGTCATGGCGAAAAAATGTCGCGGTGCGTGATCGGCGACCACTTCCGACCCTGATAATACAAATTACGTATTATGTTAAAATGATTATTAGTCTACGTATGAAAGACTAATACTGTAATAATATGTAATTTGTATTATCAGGGTCGGAAGTGGTCACCGATCACGTCACCGCGACATCTTTTCGCCATGACTAACCCACCTCTATAATATATTTACAATACCGTGTAACATAAGCGCATAAATAGGCGTATACTTAAAAATAATTAAAAATAACTTCATCGTTCTTATAATAAAATGACCAAGTAAAAAAGGAAAATTTCTTATGTAGATCATAAGATCAGGTGTAGAAAAAGGTATGTCATATGGTACTAATCCCCCAAGTTTCTGATTCTGGCCAATCAGAATGCAAATCAGGTGTAACGTGAAGATCAACTATCGAAGTCGCATTTATTTCAAAATTTCGCCTGGGCACTAACAAAAAAAAATTCCTTACCATTACAAAATTTTAGTACAATGTTGCTCACTAACCCCAAACCTTAATTTAGGTACCACTTTTAATTAGGTGACATGAAACTGGTGTGAATAATCCCAGCCAATAGAAACTTGGGGGAAAATTAGTAAATGCATGGCAGCCTTGCATTTGAACTGTGGGGGATCGACTTTTATCCCTTACACGCAAATTTAGTACGTATGATTGTTCTATCAAACTATATCTATTGATATTGGATCATATTGGATCGTAGTCAATAATCAAAGTTCATTTAGCATTAGTTTATTTTAAGTTGCTTCATGATAATTGGACGGTGTATGGAATAAGGTGTAAGTTTCAATAATAAACATTAATGCTAATAATATCTGATATATATATGTTTAGTATCGGTATTGATCGTGAAAAAGGTTATTTTCTACAGTATTTGATATCCTTTTGCATTTTCTGTTATAAATCCTTTTATTTTACTTAATGCATTTAAGTTCTTTGTAAGCTATAATTTAGAGAAAATTAGATGGTTGATTGTAATTTGTTAGGTTATATGGTAATGAACAATTGTAGAAAAAAGAGTGTTTTATTATTTACCATTATTGTATTATTACGTATAATAAATTTGCAATGAAAAAAATTACTTTTAGATACTCCAAATATTATACGGGATTAACAAAGCAGAACTAGGTTAATTGTTTAAGCTAATTTAGACTAACGATCAATTTTTTTTTTTTTAGATACTATCGATATACATTAGAATTGTGCGTGAGTGAGAATGAAAACCTGTAACCAATCATAGTAAATCATTAAATCTATTTCTCTCACGCACCCATATAACCTGCCCACCTAAAGTAGTGACCTAACCTGCGGATTTCACCCTTTCATAACGATAACTTTTAAACTATATATTTAATATAACTGTATGTAAATAAACAAAGTACGGAACATTCATAGTAGATCATAAATATATCGTAAATTTTAAAATAGGAAAATGAGAAGTTTACTATATGTAATCTTATTTTTCGGGCCAATCATTACGTTACACGAACGGCTAATTACATAGTTATTTACCGAAGTTCCATTTATTATAAACCAATAATTGAAAAGGATAAACGAAGAAAATAATTGATAATGGTATGAATTACACGAATTCAAAATTCAAAAAAAGCAAAAAAAGCGTATATAGCATGAACTGACAATATTTGTTTGGGATGACAAACATGCGTAATTCTTGTTCCAAATCTGTTTACATTAATTAAACGTTAGTTGCACTAAGTACGTATGTTGCGCGAAAATGTATCTTAAGAACTTGAGTTTGTTTGTTTGAAAACTTGAATTCGCTTACTCGGTCACCTTTTTCTCTCACATACATACATTCTTTTACTATATATGCGCCACAATATCAGAGGTATATGCTTTGTCCTACTTTTAGTTAACCCGATTTCCTTTCTGACGAGTTTTTTTTTCCTCAAGATTAAAAGTAATAAAGGTGTAGAAGACAATGACATATCAAAGCGATTCGGAGGACGATTTATTCGTCCATAGTATGACCTTAAAAAAAGCGCAAGCATTGATAGATAATCCTCGTTCTCACCAAGTTATTACCCTTGCAAGTTGTGGTAAAAAAGTTGGGGTCTGTGAAGTTGGAGACCCAGAAGGTTATCCCGTGCTTTGGCTTACAGGTGCATACATACATTTATCTATTTTCCTTTCTTAATCAATACAATAAATTATCTATATTTAATATCTCATTTTTTTCTTAATTTTTATTTCATTCTAGGAAACATGGGTCCAGCAATGTCAATCCTTTTATATCATAATCTTGCAAAACGACATCATATTCGTCTAATTTCGGTAGATAGACCTGGCTATAATGATAGTGACGATATTTATTCACGATCTGGTGTTCCAGACTTATTTGAATTTGCTGATATGATCAACGAATTGACTTTGATATTAAGAATGTGGCAATTTGGTATGGCTACTTTTTCACTAGGCGCCGTTTACGGTTTGGCTTATTCACTTAATTTCCCTGAGAGAATTAAAGGTCCGATATTTACGATTAGTCCTTGGGTGTCAACTAGTACACCAGGACATTTACTTTATTATAAAGGTTTGTATAAATTATTGATAGATCTATGTTTATGTAATATTTACTGTTAAAATTTTACCTTCCTTTTGCTCTTTTACTTTTTTAAAGGCATCGCAAAATTTGCTCCAAATTTCTTAATCCGTACTACATTAAGCACCCTACCACACATGACCAACTTTTTTAGTATGTGGAGCACATTAGGCTCCTCATCTCCTCGCGCTTCCACATCCTCTACCCTTAGATCTCAATCATCATCAGCATCATCATCATCATCCTCAACAATTGATGATGAACCGATGGCGCTTTCCGTCGAAAGTGTGATTAGTACAATATCTCCAGGTCGTAGTTATATACACAAAAAGATTTATCAAAATGGTTTATGGAATTTACAAAATCGTACTGGTGCACATATTGATGCTATGGTAGCATTAGAAAAAGTTGATTGGGGTTATAAATATGAAGATACTACACATCCGATTCAAGCTTATGTAGGTGAAGAAGATGAAAATGTTCCGTTACAAGCTTGGACGTATATGAGTAATAGAATGGATAATTTAAAATTAAACGTTGTTAAAGATGGTGGTCATTATTTGTTATATAGAATGGATTTCATGGAAGAGTTATTTACAACAATCGAGTCCACTGTCAATTCATAAATAATACCAGTAGATTATACAATAGTAAACCATTAATAATGATAACGGGTTTTTCTTTATTATATAATAATATTACATAATAATAGAAGTATGATATCGAATATATATTGTGTATTTTAGTGTATACATACAATTTTTATTAAAGAAAAATTATTCGATGACACGTAAAACCACCCGAATTCGAAGACTGTTCTTCATTCTAACCTTTTGTGCATATCACAATTCCCTAATCGTTATACTAATAATTTACGTCAGCATTAGCGAATTTTAACTCACATTTTATACAAAAGTAAATAATATTTTAACCCAATAAATATAACTACCTCCAAGCGAAATTCCGGTAATATTGGTCACAAAAAGAAGAAAAAAAAAAAGAAATTCATACTTATGATTGTTTTACCGCCAGAACTGCCGATGGAACAAGATCTATTTCAAAAAATGCATAAATAGATATAAATAAAAAAATAAATAAATACATAAATAAATACATAAATAAATAAATGAATAGGTTAGTGTACATATATGCATTTATATGTTGTGAGAACTGAATTTAATAAAATTATAATTTTAGGGTAGAATTTACTTTATATAAACCTACATCCTAACCCTAAAATCCTATGAAAATCAAATTCCACTTAAATTCTGTTCCCACTTACAACATATATACAGTTACTTACCCAAATCCTTTAAGGTTTTTTGCATCTCATCATTTTCAAACACTTTCCTACAAGGTACATATAAAATAGAATCATAAGTAACAAACAAAGAATCAAACAAATTCTTACAAAAGAAAAGCTCTATACCTTGGAAATGTCGTCATCAATTGGAATGGGCCAACAACATGTTGACTAACATGATCGTGTACAATTTGTAAAGTATCGGTAGCTTGAAATGTTTGAGTGATAGGCGCTCCTGCTGGTGGTCGAATCTTTGGAAAATAATCAAAAGAACGAATTAATTCAATACGACAGAATATGTAAAACAATAAGTATATAAAAGCCGGACCTGTAACCGTGTTTCGGTGTATTCTTTCTTTGATGCAGCTAAAGCGGCCGCTGCTTCGGCGGCGGCTTCTTCCTGTTTTTGAACTTGAATCGCTTGTTTTGCCGCTTCACGCTATAAACATTAGTGATTGTCAATGGTTAATTATTTATGACACAATTTCACATAAATTTGTATTAATAATTTTATTCATCACCTTTGCCGCTCTTTCCTTTTTATCTGCTTCGATCTGCGCCTTTATTTTAGCCTTAGCAATTTTGTCATCTTCCTTTTCTTTCTTTTTCGCCATTAATAACTTTTGCATTTCCTTTTCTTCCATTTGACTTTTGGCTTCTGTCAATTCTCTACCGGATTGTCTTCGCATTCTTTCACGACTTTTCTCCTCTTCTTTTTCTTGAATAACACGTAATT